TTCTGCCATGATGATCACTTGCCGCTTTGCCTTCGGGTTCATGGCATTCTCAGACACAGAGTATCGGCTGGCAAACCCTTTATGTGGGATGAACAAGCCTTTTTGTGTCCTGATCGCACCTCTGCATTTCGACAGGCCCTTGCCACCTTGCCAATTCCAGTATGGTCCACTTCAGTTGAAGCGCATACTGCCTGGTTTGAAAAGCAGATCTATCAACTTGGATGTCAATTTTTTGGATGTGCCTCGCGTTCCAAGAGAAGGCCTCAGCTACGAGCCTCTACGCTGGAAGCCATCGCAATGAAACGTCACATGCTTGATTGTGCCCGGAACTGGAACATGGCGCAGTCACCTGAGTTCAAAGAGCTACTCAAGCCAATTGAAAAACAGGTCCGAAAAGCAGTGAGAGAAGATCTAGGTGTCTATTATGATCAACTGTTGGTGCATCTGCAGAACTCTGACAGCCTGGGGGACTTGCGCACAGTGTTTCGCACCCTCTTGCGCCTAGGAGGCCGAAACCGCAAGAGCACGGGATCCTTGCGCCCTCTCCCCATGCTGCGCAAGGAGGATGGCACCCTCACCAAAACCTTTCAAGAAAGACAATGGATCTGGATGGAACAGTTCGCAAAAATTGAGGCTGGACAAACCATTGACCTTAATGAGTTGGCTTCGTTGGACAAGCACCTCTCCCGGCATGCTTTAGATATCCAAGACCCAGGATCGTTCCCCTCCCTCTGGGACATCCATCAAGGTATCCGCAAGCTGAAACGAGGTCGGGCGCCAGGGCCAAATGGTCTCCCTCCAGCCCTTTTGAAAGCTGGGGGCGAGGTTTTTGCCAGACAATTTCTTGCACTGGCGACCAAGTGTGCTGCCCACTCGCATGAGCCCCTTTCATGGAAGGGAGGAAGACTCTTCCCACTCCACAAAGGGAAGCTGCATCCCTCAGAACCCGAGGGATACAGATCTATTTTTGTCTCCGATTTCACTGCGAAGCTTTATCACATGACACTGCGAAGCCCTCTCGAACAGGCATGGACCCAGTCCATTCATTCACTGCAACTGGGCGGACGCAAGGGACAAGGCACAGATATGGCACATCATGTGCTCCAGACGTTTTGGCACTGGACTCACAAAAAGCAGTGTCCCGCCGCCATTGTTTTCTTTGATGTGCGGGCCGCCTTTTACAGTGTGATCCGGGAAGCACTCTTCCCTGGCGATGGCGACCTGGCAAAACTGCAAACTGTGCTCACAGCGTTGGGCATTCAGGACCACATTGCCGAGACCATTGCCGAAAGCGTGGATCATGATTTTGCCTTGCAGGGAGTAACCCAGCACATGCTAGCCATTTTGAAGGATGTGATGGTTAATACGCATTTTTTCATTGATGGAATCCCACAGCCATGCCGTACCCGACGAGGCACACGCCCTGGAGACCCCATTGGGGACATTTTGTTCAACATGGTCATGTCTTGCTTGTTGCGAGATGCCAAGGGACAACTCCAAGCTCACCCTGACTTGAAGTGGTATGGTGGACAGCAGCTATGTGAAGATTTCACCACGGCCAACGACCTCCCATCCTCAGGATGCTTCGATATCTCATTTGTTGACGACTGTGCATTCGGAATCCATGGAAAATCCAACCAGCAAGTTGAAGCAGGGATCCAGGCAGTAGTCGAAGCCATGACAGTTGCCTCCAAGCGCAGGGGTCTGATCATCAATTTTGAACAAGGTAAGACTGAAGTTCTCTGGCACATTGTTGGCAAAGGCTCCAAAAGCAAAAAGATGTCACTTGCAGCAGATGAGTCCCAGCTGAAATGGCATACAGACCAAGGTCACTTCGCCCTTCGAGTGACGCATGCGTATAAACACCTGGGCACATGGATCCAAGCTGGCAATGTACATGGTAAAGAAATTCAGCAACGCAGTGCCCTAGCCCGCTCAACATGGGGAACACTGGCCCGAGCCTTCTACAACAAGCCCTATGTCTCCCTGCGGACCAAATCCAAAGTTTTCCAGTCCACTGCCCTCAGCCAATTCATGTACAATGCACATGTCTGGACTGGCGTTGCACCCAAGGAATGGGACAAATGGCACAACGCTCTGCGCAAACCTTATGGCCTCATGGTAAAGAGCAAGCTAAGAGGGGTGAACCCTTTGCACTTGGATACAGACGCTGTTTCAGCATTGGCGGGAATCTTACCACCCAAGCACGCGCTCCAAGTGGCACGCCTCCGATACCTCAAGCGGATTACAGTCGCCTGCCCCCAGGTGCTCTGGGACCTGATCATGGCAGACGCTTACACTGACCTCTCCTGGATCTCCGCATGCCAAGAGGCTTTCAGATGGTTCCGCATGCACTACGACGTCGCCTTTGCCCCAGTCTCAGATGACATTCAGGTGTGGTTACCCATCATCGCCCTCGACACGTCATGGAAGGGCCTGCAATACTGCACGGCCATTGCCGAAAAACAGGTTTCCCTTGACAGATTTTGCCGAGTCTTCCAATCAAATGGAGGGGTCTTGCCAGTTGACTCACAACAGGTGCAAAGCAAATGGCAATGCGACCTATGCCAACGTTGCTTCCCCTCCAAACGAGGACTAGCATCCCATGCGGCCAGAGCACATGGATACAAACGAATCGAACGATACTACGCACTCCACGCCACATGTGATGCGTGCGGCAAGTATTACCATGCCAGAGCACGGCTCCTCATGCACCTGTATGACTGCCCTGCCTGCCTCCTCACACTGCAGCACTGTTTTCCCCCGGCGCCGGAAGATGAGGTGGAACGCCTGGACAATGAGGGCAAGCAATATGCAGGGGATATGAGGACACAAGGATGGTGGAAGACCAAAGCTTTCCTGCCGCCGTTCAAGATCCACGGGCCGCTGCTACCGCCCCCCAATACCCCAGATGCATTAGCCTTCAAGCTCAAATGGGAGGCTAGAACGCAAGCCCCTGGAGCCGCATTCCAAGAACTGCAAGGCAGATGTGCTCCTGCCGAACCACCGGAGAAGCCGCAAGTTCATCTCTTTGAAGAGGACATGCCAGCCTTTGTTCTGCATGCGCCACATGGCCCAAATGCAGGTGACGGGGTCTTTGCCAATGCTGGCCTTGCACGTGAAGCCGCTCGGCTACACATCAAATGGCTGGTCTTCGTGCATTACTTCAGTGGTTACCGGAGATCTCAAGACCTCCACCAAGTCATCGAAGACACACCACTGGAAGGCGGCACACATATCATGACCATATCAGTCGATATGTGTATGCAGAAAAAGGATGGAAATTTAGCCACCAGCAACGCGACAAGCTGGTGGCTCGAGCGCATCCGGGCGGGGCAAATCATTGGCGCAGGTGGTGGCCCACCTTGTGAAACATTCACTGCTGCCCGATTCCTACCCGACGGACCACGACCACTTCGCACTGGCAGCCATCCTGACGGCCTCCCAGCGTTGAACGCCAGGGAGTGGATGCAGGTCCGAATTGGGTCGCGGCTGGTCTATTTCATTTTTGAAATTTTGCTGGAATTGGCCCGTTTTGGGGGGTGCGGTTTTGCAGAACATCCGCAATGGCCATTGTGGGCGGTGCGCCATGACCCAGCCAGCATTTGGTCTTCCAGATTTGCCAGGCTATGCAAGACCCTCAACTGCTTCAGTGTGACCAGTTTTGACCAGTGTGTGGTGGGATCGCCCGCTAAGAAACCCACTACAATTTTACTCCTGCGACTTGACAGTTTTCGGCACGAGCTCCTCACCACAGGCAATGGAGGACGATGTCACCATCACAAGGGTGCCCACGAACAACTGCAAGGGCGAGATGCCACAGGAGTGTTTCGTACAGCTGTAGGCAAGGTATACCCTGCAGGCCTGAACCAAGCTCTGGGTCGAGCAGTGCGCCGCTTTGTGGAGAACACATTTGACCACAAGCTTTTGCGCCAGGAACTCCCCATTGAGCTCACCTGCTCCAAACCGCAAGTTTTTGAGGACGATGGAGTAGTCCAGCCCGACTATCATGGCCTTGTGACTTGAACCTCGTCCTGTACAGGCAGTTTGTAGCAATGCAAGAGACCAAGTGCCAAAGGGCACAGCAGACGCAAAGTGGCAAAGTGTCATCCTTCCCATTGACTCATATTTTTCAAGATGGTTATTGCACCACCTTAACCAGGTATTGATTAATTCGGGAAAGCCAATGACATACACCTCCCCCATTGTGGGATTGTTTCTAGCACCCATCTATGGTGAGTTCCAGCATTGAAACCGTGTCAAAGCTTAATGATGGGGTCCACGATAGTTGAACAGTAATTGTCTCAAAATATGAATGCATGATTACTGGATTGTCTTTTGGAACTTTATCAGTCATGGGCTCCGTGTTCAGTTGGGAAACCGACCTTTTGTGCGGATGGATTGACATCACCAGAGCATGTTGGTGATCAGAACATGTCGACAAGAGATGCGTTCAAACCAAGAGTCAGCGATTCTCCCTATGTTGATCATTGGGGATTGGTGAATATTTCTATAAAACGTATGTCACAGAAATTAGCTGCTTCACATTATGCTCCTATTGAGATTCCTTGAGATGGTCGCAAATCATGTTCAAACTTGAGCAACCTGGTGGCGCTGGAGAGATAACCTAATCACCCTCTGGTAAACTTCCGGCTGGTCATTGTCGGATATCATGATCAATGAGTTTAAACAAGATATCATCAATCATCATAAAATATATATATATATTGAATATAAAATCCGTTTTATGGATCATGATATCGTCGATAATCCGATGTCGTTGTACAATCCAAATAATCCAAGGTCACTGCTGGATATCATGATGGAATCTATAAATATCTATGAAGATAAACTATACTCAGATATTTGATCATTGATAGAATGATGGAATCTATGATAAATATCTATGATGGAATCTATAAATATCTATGATAAATATCTATGATCATCATGCCCATAAAACTTCCCGTCATTTCCTCAAAGCAGCACTCGCGAACGAGGTTCCAGAGTGTCTTCCAGCCCATGCCAGGCGTATACTGCGATGCAATGAGATATGCGTTTTTTTTTTGGCACTATAATATCACATATACAGTATAGAATATACACATTGATACATATATCATATATCGGTAAAGCCAAATATTTCAAGTAGATCCAACCATCCTCCAAGCAGATTTGCCTTTTTTACGGCCATGTCAATCAATACTTATATTTATATACATTTGTATAGATATTTATATTTTATTGTTTTACATATAGACAGCCTATAGAATCAAAACTCTAGCTTTGGATGATGATCGATGACTGCAAGTCCGGAAGATGAATTTGCAGAAGAACCGCAGTTTTTTCCGCCTTTGCCATGAGTTTGGCATGCTTAATTGTACCCTTTGACGTAGGAGCTTTTTTTTTAAGCCCTATGACTGGAATGGTGGCCTCGACAAACACGCCACTGGAAAACCCTCGGTTCATCAACATGTTTCCTATAAAATTGCCGCAACTTGGGTCTTTTGGCATCTCCAGTGTTTCGGTACCAAAGCGGACCTTCCGGTGAAAAAATCCACAGGTGCACCCCTCTTCTTGACCGGGGATCCCAAAGTGTGACCTTTTTTTTCAGACCATCCATGGTCAGTGATGCAGGTGAATCATGGATAATCATGTGGTAATATGCTGTATCTCCCAGCACCATGTGTCACTAAGTCACTAAGACAAGCGAATTCCTGCGAGCCAAAGGCCATGTCATTAGCAAAGAAATTTTGCAACGGATGCCTCCTCCAACCATGCAAGCAGAGGCGGTCGGATGGGTCAGGGCGGCTAGAAGAAACCCCACGACGAAGGTCATACCACAAGAGTGGGAAGCCCAACGCAGGGTTCATGAACCCTTGATACTATAGATTAGCTTTTTTTAAAGCCTCGTAAACAATGCTTTTAAAGCTCCAAGAGACGCGGTGAACGTAGGGGGTACGAGTGGCTAACGGACGTGGTGACGAACGTAAGGCGAACGAGTGAACGGACGAGTGCACGTGTGAGCGAACGAGTGAACGGACGTGTGCGTGCAAGTGGACGGACGTGTGCGCGTACGTGCGTGCGTTTGCACGTTCACTGGCCGCGTGCGCGCGCACGTACGAAAATAAGGTCGACTGGAGTCGACCTTATTTCTGTACGTGCAAAGCGCTACAATACTAAATCAATACTAAAGAGGCAGGGTCGTGCAAAAATAAGGTCGACTCAAGTCGACCTTATTTTGCGTACGTGCGCGCGCGCGCGTGGCGAGTGACCGTGCAAACGCACGGACGTACGCTCACACGTTCGCTCGCACGTACGCTCACTCGTACATACATACGTTCGCATGTACGTTCACTCGCACGCATGTCGTTCACACACACGTTCATACCCCCGTTCATGTCACTCGTCACTACACGTACGCTAGATAACAAAAATATTTTTACGAGACTTTAAAAAAGGCTAAACTATAGAGGAATAGACATATATATATATATTTATTATTATGTGTATATATATATACAATGTGTATATATATATATATATTATATTATGTATATATATATATATTACGTGTATATATATATATTATATATATAATGTATATATATACAATGTATATATATAATGTATATATATATATATAATGTATATATATTTATAATGTATATATATATAATGTATATATATAATGTATATATATATAATGTATATATATATAATGTATATATATAATGTATATATAATGTATATATATAGATATAATGTATATGTAATATATAATATATATATAATATATAATATATAATGTATACATAATATATATATATATAATGTATGTATATATATTATGTACATATATATATATATACGTTATGTGCATATGTTTATATACATATACTTTATGTACATATATATATTATGTATACATGCATATATATACATATATTGTATATATGTATATGTGTGTATGTGTATGTATAGTGTATGTGTATATATATATATATGTGCTGATTAATAAACCTGATTCGAGCACTACATTGCTATGGGTATGGGGGCATAAGAAAAGTGAAAGATGGGCCACATAAACGGGCACTTGTGGAAGATCATCCACATCCTGAACAAATGTTGAGTCGATGATGTTCTCCATATTCAGGGGTGAAACTTATCGTAAGGGAAGGGATGGTATATGTATATATATATACTTAGACAAGTACCAATCAGTTACTATATTCCATGTTGAATATTGAACTTCCATTCTCTCTTGGCTTGCACCTATGAAGACCTATTATGGTTGATTCCTGTGTGTAACATCCCCATAAGGAATCCAACATATTCTGATTCCTGCTATCCATTGGTCAGTCCTCACAATGTCTATCAGTTCATGGCCATTCTTCTCGTGCGAATCCACGGTTTTCAGATACGACGCCCATATTCAGCATATATGGTTGGTGATATATGTCTTAGTATATACTCATTATGTCTCTCTAAATCCGTATTTTTGATGGCTAATTCCACCATTTTCAAACCCAAATAGTTCTTGTTGGTTATATATATATACATATATACATACACCATTAAGCTACTTATTGATATACCCATTAAATACGACATGACACATGAAACCTCTCACTGCGAGGCCACTGGACATAGTGTTTGGCTATTGGGTAACTATCCCATGATGGCTCAACTTTTCAGAGGTATGTTCAAACAATCTGAGAATACTCATTCTGAATAAATCCACTCTCAACTCCTCCCCGTCCTCAGGCAGAAGAAACGAGGTCTCAGTCGCTCGACCTTAGCTTTGTTTGCAGGGTAATTCATCATTAGGAATCATTGGATTTGATTTAAATTGATTTAAATTGATTTAAATTGATTTAAATGATTTAAATTGATTCAAATTGATTTAAATTGATTTAAATTGATTCAAATTGATTTAAATTGATTTAAATTGATTTACCTCCATGTGATTTGATTGGGGTACGGTGAATATGATAGCATGGATAGCAGATGCAGACCAGTGCAACCAGTGGCGGATAGCCAACTGAGGTGTGTAAATGAGCATGAGGAAGAGGATGAAGACAATGAGGTGTGAAGGGTCAGAGACAACAAACCGACTTAACCCATATCAAAACCAATATCAAAACCCAGTCAGAAGGATCCCAAAAAGACCTTGCATGACTCATGATGAGCCAAAGTGACGAGCGTTGTGGATTTTAGCCGCCAAGCAAGAGTCAAATAAATCACCAGAAAGATTCCCTGATATTCCATGCTACTGGTAGGTTTTCCATGGTTTTCCTATACATGTTCCCCTTCAAAACGCCCCCTTCCTTGAATGATTGAATGTATATTGTTTTTTTTGGTCAGCGCCAGGCATGGGATTTCATCCTTTTGATCTCTTGGCTGTCTCGATTACTTCCATCCATTGTGGCAGCTTCTCCCAACATAGAGACATATAGATCATATAGGGACCGCAACAAATCCACCTTTGTGGTTTCCCAAAAGCTCACAGAACTGCCTCACAGCTGCTCAAACCGTTGCTGGGTTTTTCGCACAGTTGTTTTTCCCACCGCCCACACCAGGAGTTCATCTTCGAACAGGTGGAGATTACCAGCATCATCAACTGCTGTCGAAGTTTTTTCGTCTTGGGTCGAGATCCTTGGCCGCCACGGCGGAGGCACTGCCACGGCGGATCAGGGTTTCTTCAGCGGTGATCTATTTTAGAGTTTCATTTTTTGGGGAGCTACTATAGCAATACATAGCATGATTTTCGCATTTGCTGGAGTGTGATTATATGATTTTATTAAGGATGGGCCAAAATTCAAAAGACTTTTGGAATCGCAGAAGCTGTTGTTTGTTCTTTGAACAAACACTACCAAACACTACCCATCCTACATTCAGCTTACCCCAACGTTCAACCATTCAGATAATCTATATATCCGGTCCTATCTATCTATCCATCCATCTATCCATCCATCCATCCATCTATCTATCGATCTATCGGTCTATCGATCTATCGACCTATCGATCTATCTATCTGTCTGTCTGTCTGTCTAGCTGTCTAGCTGTCTATCTGTCTGTCTGTCTATCTGTCTATCTGTCTATTTGTCTATCTGTCTATCTATCCATCTATCTATCTAATCTACTCTAATCTAATCTACTCTAATCTAATCTACTCTAATCTACTCTGATCTAATCTACTCTAATCTAATCTACTCTAATCTACTCTAATCTACTCTACTCTAATCTAATCAAATCACATCAAATCTATCTAATCTATCTAATCTATCTATCTATCTATCTGTCTGTCTGTCTGTCTGTCTATCTGTCTATCTGTCTATTTGTCTATCTGTCTATCTATCTATCGATCTATCTGTCTTATTTCTTACCTACCTTATCTATCTGAATATTAACTTTATCTATCTTATCTATCTTATCTAGCTTGTCTATCTTGTCTCTCTTGTATATCTTGTCTATCGTGTCCATCTTCTCTAGCTTATTTATCTTATCTATTGTATCTATCGTATCGATTTTATCTGTCTTATCTATCTTATCTATCTTATCTATCTTATCTATCTTATCTATCGTATCCATCTTATCTATCTTATCTATCTTATCTATATTATCTATTTTAATCTATCGTATCTACCGTATCTATCTTATCTATCTTATCTATCTTATCTATTTTATTTTATCTATCTATCTATCTATCTATCTATCTATCTTATCTATCTTATCTATCTTATCTATCTTGTCTGTCTTATCTATCTTATTTATTTATTTATCTATCTACCTATCTATCAATCTATCTATCTATCTGTCTGTCTATCTATCTATCTGTCTGTCTGTCTATCTATCTGTCTAATATAATCTAATAAAATTTTAATCCTCATCTCATCAATCTAATCTAATCCAATCTAATTTAATCTAATCTATCTATCTACATGTAAACGTACACGTGTGTTTCTCAAATTGAAGTACCCGGAAAAAACAAAATAATGAACATGACCAGGATGACTGGGTGGTCCCCCATTTTGTGAAGCCCATGTAGAAATAGGTACCCCCTTGCAGTGTTCTAATTTGGCTCTTGGCAGCTTAGGACAGTGGGCCTGAAGTGACTTGGTTCGAGAAAATCCATGGCGGAATGGCAGGTGATTTGGGGGATCAAAACTCATTCGACATGATATTTCGGGAACATAGATTTACCAGTTCTGTGGCTATTCAATGCTATTCACATTTCGGGGCTCGGGTTTTTTGACTCATATCTATGTTATTTGCTTGAGGTCACAACCCCTCTTTAGATGCTGTTTCCAGCCTGATTTCCCAGGCGTTTAGTAAAACGCCACATCTCCAGCGGGACTTACTTTTTATGGGGTCCTCTCAAGTCCCCTGGACGGGTGGTATCACTAGAATGAATATATTTGGTTGGTGGTTTCAAACATGAATTTTATGTTCCATAATGTATGGGATGTCATCCTTCCCATTGACTTTCATATTTTTCAAGATGGGTAAAACATGTTAAAACCACCAACCAGTATAAATACTACATCTTGTTTTACCACTGGTCGTTTTCACCATTGATCACTGCCTGTTATCCTGATTTTTTTTATTGCAGTAGGGAAACGTGACTACGGAGAGGACTATCTCCATTGTTCCTCGTCGGAGCACCAATCATTGGTCAATCAAACCCTCAATGTTCGTTGGTTTCACCAATTTCGAATGGATTTTAACTCCAGTGTTCATATCTAGATATCATTTTGAATCGGTTCATGTCTTGAGTGTTGGTAAAAATCCAAGCGTTTATCTTAAAATATGTTACTGTACATACAATATTGATTTGTCGCTTAAACAATCCAAAGTTTTCCAGATAAACATCCCAAGCCCTCCTATTAAACCATGCTAACCCGCATTTTCACGGAAAAAAACGACAAACACCACCATGAAATCAGAGATTTCCCATGGTTTTCCATATGAAAAACCCAGAAATCCCACATGTTCACTGGAAAAATCCCAGATTTTCCATTATTTGCCCATGTGAACCCTACATTTTCCCTGGCATTTTCTCCGAGCAAAACAGCCCAGGTCCTAACGCGTGCGGCGTTTTGTCGCATGGCCTGCGCCTTCGAGGGCTTTCGCTCGCAGGGGAGACCCTGGCTGAAGCGATCGGTCTCTTGGAGTGATGAGACTGGGGGTTATTGTTGGGATACATATATATATATATATATTATATTATATATTATATTTTATATATATATATAACCATCGGGTTGTTATGTTATTATGATGGTTACACATAATTATCATATCTATATATATATATACATATTATCATTATGAATGATAATTGTTTTCTTGGTGTTTTAGTGACTTAGTTACTTAGTTAGTCAGTTAGTCACTGTTAGTCACTTGGTTTCTTACTTGGTTAGATGGTTAGATAAATAGATAGAGTATATAAGAATATATTTGGTTGGTGGTCTGGAACATGCTTTATGTTTCCATATATTGGGAATAATAATCCCTACTGGCTCATATTTTTCAGAGGGGTCGAAACCACCAACCAGTTTGTTATTGTGATCATTATCATTATGAATATGATGTGTTTTTGTTCTGATGATTATGATGATTTTTGATTATTATGAGTATTATGTTTCATTGGTATGATGATTATGATTATAAAAAGTGTCATTATCATCATAATAATCATATTATGTATGTTTTGTTTAGCATTGGTGATTATTATCATGATGATGATGTTGATGATGAGTTGATTATAGAAACACTATGTTAGTTATCCATGTTATCCCCCGCCAAAAAATAATCCAAACAAACTAACCACAGTGTGTTTAAATTCATGATGATGATTATTATTATTATAGAATTACTAGTAGTGTCATTGTTATTGTTATTATTGGGACAATTTTGTCCTCGTATCACTATCCCGATTATGGTTTTTTGTATGTCATAGCCAAAGAAAAGATACTATCACATGTTTCCAGCATGGTGTAGATAGGTTAATTACGCGGTGTTCCCCATAATTTGCAGAGTTCTTGTTTGTCTATCTTTTTGGTGGTCGCAAAAAAAAAATCTTTGGAAAGATTTGGACTGGCCCCTGACTGGTTAATGGGAAGGTTTACCAATGGGGATGAAGATTAGCCTTTTTATGGCGATATTCTATGATATTCTGATATATAAAGGACAACTTGGGCTAGGAGAGTGATGGGATAATTAATGATGGGTAAAATGGGCGAATGGGTTTAAGAATAATGGGAATCTCATGGGATTATAATTGGGATTCTGATGATAATGACATAATATATATATATAACTATATCATATTTTAACATAATTGCACAACAATACGTTTACTTAATCTTGACATCTACAGGTGTGAATGCGTATAGCTAATAAACAAGGCTGGGTATCATAATGGGTTAACGGGTTGTAGAATAGAGGGATGACAACGGCATGTAGTGAGATGATCATGGGAGAATAATGGGATGTGTATAACCAGCAATATATATATATAGTACAGCTACAGCAATTGGTTGAGGGATTGAACCATCAAACATGCTGAAAAAATGGCGGAACCAACCATCAAACATGTTGAAGACGAGGGGTAAAAGCCAGCGATACCAAGGGATACCAAAGCGATACCAAAGGGAACCTGGTAGTCATAGCCAACATGTGTGAATCCCCTTGTGAACCATTGGGATGGGATTCCTTGAAGTTTCAGATGAGCAGCCCAGGCAGGGCGATGTTCATTTTGGGGACATGAAATTCATGAATCCGAACCAACGGGTTGGTGTTTTCAAAGGCATTCCACCTTTGAAGATGTGATATTTGTGGATTTGTGTTGAACTGAGGGTTGGAAGTTGGTGAAAGAACCAGTGCGTTTTTTTCAGCCTATCCTCATGAGAGATGTATCCTGTTTCCTTCCTGGCCCAGGCAACAAGTCTATAACACAGAACTCCCGAAGTTGGCACTGAGACAACTGGGAAGGTTTCCAGCGGAATATGATTGGAAACATGCATCAAATATCAAGAGTTGGCTCCTACTGGACGAATCTCATTGCATAAGAGAAAGTACAAGGACGAGAAGAAACAACCCTTTGCAAGCCGCACAGGACTTGGACATGAATAGCAAGCGTATGTGGCGATTTGATTGCAGCATGCATATGCATACCAGTCGGTATACACAGCGGACCCTGTCCGTCAAAACCCGTAGGGAGTGAAATCTCAAAGGCAACCATGCTCACGCACCCCGTTTGACAAAGAGTGGGAATTGAATCAACCACCATCGATACAATTCGATACATCTGCAACAGACATATCTGAAGCAGATACGGTGATGTGTTTCACATGGAAAACACTGGGTAGGCTGCACCCAAATATTGGATCCATCCCTCCGAAATATTGGATATTTCTGGGTAAATTATAATGACCTCACTGTTCTTTTCTCCACTGGAATCATGGTTTTTATAGGGAAATCATCCCCAAACCCAACAATTCAGATTGGTGAAATATTATGTTTTACCCAGATATTTGATGATTAACCAATGGATCCATCCCTGCATTGTTGAAGTGAGCACGAAAATCGCTGAGCGTCCTGAGGTTGCCCATTTCGATCGTTTGTGCAGCAAGATCGTCGCCACTCAGCATGGATTTGAGAAAACGCCCGGTGGGTTGATGAAATGATATGAACTTATATAGGAATTTGAAGATATTTCAACCATGAGACTATGGTGTGTATATATATATATATATAATATGTGGGTATAACATGGTATAACTGGTAAAGATTGCTGGTTGATAAAATTACATTGGGTTATACTTGCAGACACGCACAAATCAAGAAGTGTAACACTCCCACACATGTCCATTTTCAATGAATCCTGCGGTTGACGTAGCCGCTTTTTTACTTCAAGCATTGGCGAAAAACCATTGCGGCTGCGAGCTGCGATTGCCGAGTTGGAGGTGCCCGGAACTGGAAGTATCTGTTCTTATCAGTGTGACAACGAGGGGAACTACAACATAACGATCCAGGTTGGTGGCTTCCTTAGGTTATGAGCCCAAGCTCTTCCCTGTGATCAACTCCAATGACCTCGTTGTATGGTAGGAGAAGGGCCACTCAACAGGAACTCCAACAAGGTGAACGTGAAATGCAAGCAGCTCAAGAAAGGCTTGAACGTGAAAACCAAGAACTACCTCTGGAGGATCAAGGACAAGGGTTGGAAAGGGAGCAAAAAGATTTGGTAGCAGCTGAAACTTCAGTAGTAGCCTCAGAAGAGAAAGGTGAAAAGGAGTCAGAAACTGTAAAGCCAATTCAAGATGTTTCCAAAAGCCCGTCAGCAGTTGAGCCGACCCCCGCAAGTGAAAAGGGAAAGGTAGGTTCAGCAGCTCCTTCAGTGGTGCCGATTTCTCCTCAATATCATCGGCAAGATGCGAATGGTGGTGCTCTTGACTCGTCAGGACAAGGGGTTGGGGCAGCCACACCACAAGTGACTCAGCCTCAAAGCAGTAGAGATGGGATGGAATCAGTTGCCAATAGACCGGATGTTGGTTTTGCTGCCACCCCACAAACTCCTCTGTTTACAAATGAGCAGCTGATGCAATGGAGAATGTTGGAAGAACAAGCTCCTCTGTTGCTTCCTCGAAGACTCGACATGATGTATAACATGCCACTGCAACGTCCTCAATTCATGGAGTTTGAAGAAGCGAGGTTGATAGAAGAACGTAGGAGGCATGAAGAGCTTAGGCAACATGTTGAATCACTGATGATGGAAAACAGAAGGTTGTCAAAGCGTGTGGAGGAGTTGGAAAATAGACAGGTAGATGCCGCAGAAGAGTATCATACACCTGACCAAAAAGGAATTGAGCCCGTGTCTCGCAGAAAGGCCGCAGACCACCAAAAGGAGGCTGCAGACCACCAAAAGGAGGCCGCAGACCACCAAAAGGAGGCTGCAGACCACCAAAAGGATGCTGCAGACCCCCAAAGTAAGGCTGTAGACCCCCAAAGAAAGGACGAAGACCTTCAGAGAAGGTTGGGAGCCTATGGAAGGGAAGTTGAAAGCCGTCAGCAAAAGTTCGAGGACTGTCCCAGGGAGGCTGCAGACCCCCCAAAGGTTGGAAGTTCTTCGATCCCAAAGACATCAGGAGGCTGTAGACCCCCAGAAGATCCGCCAAAGGAGGCTGGTAGACCCCCAAAGGGAAGCTCTACGGGCCAAGGTGAATTCACAGAGAAGTCACTGGAGTTCATGGCGTTGATGATCGACTCCATGAAGGAGATGCAGCGAAAAATGACAGAAGGGAAAGAAGAGGCAGGCATGGTGAAAGGGATGGAGATCGTGAGGACCGGAATTCCTGATCTACCTGTGTTGCCGTCTTGGAACCCAACAACAGGACCATTGCAGCTGGGAGACTGGCTTTTGATGGTTGGTCCACTGGTGGCTGATATGTCATCATCTTCAGAAGAATGGTGGAAGTTGACAATCAAAGAAGCTGAGGCGTGGTACAAGGATCACATGCAGCTCGCCCCCTTGGAAAAGATTCAACACGGCCATGCTACACCGTCTTGTTTGCAGGACATCAAGTGGCAAAGGCTGGAAAGACGAGTTTCAGTGATGGTGCTTCAAAGCGTTCCAGAACAAGTCAAGGAAGAGTTGGTTGCTTCTCGCCGCCTTGAAGTGTTCGGCATCATCACCTACCTTCATCTTCTTTACAGTCCAGGGGGAGTGACAGAAAAGCAACTCCTTTTGAAGACTCTTGAAGATCCGGCAGAAGTCTCAGTTTTGTCAGAAGCACCTGCCGCTCTACGACGTTGGTTGCGGTGGAAAAGAAGAACTTTGGAGATTGGGGCAACACCGCCCGATCCTACGTTGCTCCTCAAGGGCTTGAATAGGTTGGTGCGAAAGGTGGTGGAACCAAATCGAGAACTACAATTTCGTGTGTCACTGGTACGTTCCAGTTTGGGGGTCGACACAACCCCTAGCGATCTCAACATCACCCAGTTCGCCAACCATCTCTTGGCGGAGTTGGAGCAAGCTTCATTAAGTGAGAAAAGGTCCTCGAGCTCTACCAAAGATCAACCGAAGTTGAAAAAGATTGAAGACAGTCAAGGTGGAAGAGAAGGTCGAGGATATGAAAGAGAAGAAGGACAGCAGAAGGAAAGACAAAGGTGCAAGTTTTTCTTCACTGATGCTGGTTGCAGAAAAGGAAAAGAATGTCGCTTTTTGCATGACATCACCAAGGAGGAGATGGCAGAGAAAAGGCGATGTTGGACATGCGGAGCTGTCGACCATCTGTCGCCAAGTTGCCCCCGGAAGATTGGAAGCGAAAGTCCAAAGAAGGGAAAGGCGCTGAAGGCAGAAGGTGGAAAGACAGGTCAACAATCTCAGAAAGACGGAAGTGGTTCACCGACGTCATCAACAACAAGTATGAAAGATTTGCTGGAAGAGGCCAGCAAGTTGCTCAAGTCATACCAGGAGCCGCCGACTTCATCCTCTACGACGTCTTCAGCGAAAGAAGAATCAGAAGGAGGATCAAAAGAAGAAATTTTGGAAAGACTCCATCAGCAGATCAAGTCCATGAAGACCTTCAAGCTGCTGCAGATTGGACGTGGAACACATCAAGGACTGATTGACAGTGGTGCGACACACCCTCTTCGACCTTTGAGACGATTTGAAGATGCAACTGCGTATCCAGTTGTCCAGGTCACTTTGGCCAATGGCACCACTGAGAAGTTGAAGATTTCTCCAGGAGGATCCATGGTTTCAGAAGTGAAAGATATCGAGCCAATCATTCCCATCGGCCTTCTCACAAGCCGATTGAAGTGTCAGGTCCAGTGGTCTGACGAGGGCATTAGTATCAAGCATCCACGTCGAGGTCTTTTACCAGTTTGCAAAGATGGGGGATGTCCACAAGTCCCTCGAGCGTTGGCCATGGAGTTGATTGAGGAGTTAGAAGAAAAGAAAGAAGGTTTGAAGCTGAAGGGTGCCCAACTTCAAAAGGAGTTCGCATGGATGTGCGACTTGGTGGACACTCATCCAGTGTTCAGCCAACTTCCAAAAGACATCAAAGAGGAGCTCAAGGTGCATCCTGGTGACTGGGCAAAGCTGCCTGGAAATCAAAGAATGAGAAAGAAGTGGAAAAGAGATGGCTTTGTGGTTCATCTTTTCGCAGGGCCATCGGAAGGGTTCACTCTTGCCAGAGCTTTTCAACAACAAGGCTCTGACCCAGAAGAAATCATCGAGATCGACATCTTGAGAGGCAAAGACCATGACGTCCTCTCCAACGACGGCGTCTTTGGAGCACTTCTCACTGCGTGTTTTCAAGGAAAAATGAAGGGTTTGGTTGGAGGTCCAAACTGCAGAACAAGGTCAATACTCCGGCATTTTCCAATTCCTGGCAATCCAGAAGCTCCGCGACCAATAAGAAGATGGGGAGGAGAAGAGTTTGGCATTTTTGATGCCACAGAAGAAGAAAGGGAAAAACTTTTTGAAGATGACCTCCTTTTTTGGAGGATGGTGCTCCTCTTTGTCGTTTCGGAGTACGTCAGGGTGGCTATGGAAAAAGAAGGGAAAACGTGGTTTGCCTTAGAACAACCGGCTTCTCCACGTCAATACAATGAAGATGTGGTCTCCATTTGGGACACTCCCCAATGGAAGGCCATTGCAAAAGAGTTTGACCTGCACGAGCTCACCTACAACCAAAAGACCTTGGAGGAAAAGCATCAAAAAGAACGACTTTTTCAACCAACATGGACTTGGAGCTGGCTGGCAACTACATGAAATGCCAGTCCCAGGGGGAGGTTGGAAATTCCAAAGAACTGTCAAGGTGGTCTCCAGGGACGATGTCTATGGTGGCAAAAGGCCTGGTTTCAGCTTTGGGGAGAACGCCAAAGATTAAAGCTTTGAGTTGGCAGGAACATGTCCAGTTTGGCCACGTTCCCTATCGGCGTGATTGCGCTGTGTGCCAGCAAACACTTCAACAATGTCTTCCCCATCGGCGAGTCAAATGGCCCACTCCTGGCGTTTTGTCCTTGGATACAGCTGGCCCCTTGAAGAAAGGAAAAGATGTGGACTCCTCTACTTCCAAGTACTTCCTTTGCGGTGCTTTGGTGTGGGCTGTTCCAGCTGGAACAGAAAAGATGAAGCAGCCCGATGAAGTTGAGGATGAAGAAGCTCCGATGATCGAAGCAGAAGGAAGAGCAGATCCAGAAGAAGCAGAAGAGGCAAGAGGTGAAGAGAAACCAAAGAAAGGAAGGCCAAGAAAAGAGGGGGAGGGAGATGAGTTTCCTGATGCCCCGGCTGATTTTGAAGAACAACAAAGGAAAGAAGTTGAAGAGGCAAAACAGGAACTTGAGTTCCGAACCTTCAGGCTGGCTTTTCCCTTACCATCAAAGAGCGCTACGGTGGTTACCAACGCCGCCATGGATATGATCCTGCAGCTTCGAACTGAAGGATATCACATTGGCCGCATCCACTCAGACCGTGGCCATGAATTTGCCAAGACCTTTTTGTCTTGGGCACGGAATCGGGGTATTCATGTCACCAAAACCCCGGGTGACGATCCAAGAGTCAATGGAAGAGCTGCGGTTGCCATCAAGAACACCAAGACGCAGATCAGAAAAGTTTTGAAGGCAGCTGAAGTTGGACCAGAGTACTGGCCTTTGGCATTGAGGTATGCCAACGCCGTCAACAGAAGCATCAGAAGAGATGAAACTCCGAACTGGCCGCCATTTTTGTCAGATGTGGTTGTCAGAAAGAGGAGGTGGAATCGCGATGACTTTCGCCCTACAATGGAGGTGGCCAAGTATGTGGCACCATCAAAAGAAGATCATGGACACTGGATCATCGGGGAAAATGGTCAAGTCCGCCTGACCCGATGCGTCCTTCGAAAAGTTGAAGCAGTTCCCACAGAAGAACAGTGGGTGGCGATTGAAAGGCAAGTTGAAGATGCCCAAACTTTGAGAAGAAGGCTTCGCAACAAGGCTGCGGTGAGAAGGCTGGAAGGCGAAGTTGAAGAAAGTGAAGAAAAGAAAAGAAAAGAAAGGATCTGGAAGGTCATAGAAGAAGAATCAAAGTTCATGGTGGGAGATGATGAGGAGACCATCATGGAAGAAATGAAGTTGATTTGCGATCTGAGGAAGGTCGCCATGGAGGAGGAAGTTCCAGAAGAAGAAGTCTTGCAGACAAAGATCGTCTCTCAAAGAGACGTTTCAAAAGAATGGGAAAAGTGGAAGATGCCTGCGGAAGATGAGATTCAGGCACTTTTGAACGAAAAAGAAGCGATGAGAAGCATCAATAAAGAGCAGCTTGAGGAGATGATTCGAGCTGCAGAAGAAAGAGGAGTGAAGGTTGAGTTTTTGCCTTCAAAGCTGGTTTTTACGAAAAAGCCAGGAAAGAATGGAGGAAAAAGAAAGATGAGGTGGGTGATTTGTGGGAACTATGAATCCCGAAGTGATCAGGAAAGCAACTTTTCCAGCGGTGCTGACAGCACTGCCTTCCGCGTCATGCTGGTGATGTGTGCCCGGAATCAATGGCAAGCCGGGACGCTGGATGTCAAAACAGCTTTCCTGAACGCCTTCATTGATCAGGAGTCGTCATCAAACCTGATCATTGTCAAGCCACCATCCCTCTTGGTTGAAAAGGGATGTTTGCCCATCGACATCTTCTACCTCCCTGAACGTGCAGTTTATGGTTTGAGAAGATCCCCAAAACTGTGGGGTGAATGCAGAGATGATGTTTTGCGAGTTTTGGAAGTGAAGATTCCAAAAGGAGAAGGTGAAGAAAAGCTGAGGTTGAGTCCGATGGAAGCTGAACCAAATCTTTGGATGATTCTCAAGCGGTGCGATTTGTCTGAAGATGAGGAGCCCCAGCTGAAAGGCCTTCTCATGACCTATGTGGATGATATGATGATTGCAGGTGACGAGAGCGTGGTCACTTCAGTCATGAAAGAACTTCAATCAAAGTGGACGACTTCCACACCAGACCGAGTCAGTTCAGTGCCAGTTCGGTTTTTGGGCACTGAAATCACCAAACATGAACATGATGGCCGTGATGTTTGGCTGCTGTCGCAAGAGTCCTACGTGCGGGACTTAGTAGCACAAGGTGGTGAGGAAGTGAAAAAGCGAAAAATCCCCATCACACGCGATCAAAGTTCCCAGCTTGAGGAGCCTGAAGAAGGAGTGACTCCAGAGAAGGTGAAAAGAGCTCAAAAAGAGGTTGGTGAACTGCTTTGGTTAGTGACCAGAACGAGACCGGAGCTGATGTTCCCAGTCTCAAAAGTGGGCTCCGCTACCACAAAGTCACCAGACTTGGTCCACGAGATCTACAAGCAGGTCTTGGGCTATTTGCTGGTCCACCCAATGGATGGTTTGGTCTTCGATGTGAAAGCAGAAGACCCTTGGCTTTTGGAGGCGTTTGCAGATTCCTCATTTTCGCCACAAGGTGAGGAATCCCACGGAGCATTCGTCATCAAGCTCTGTGGATGCCCCATTTTTTGGCGATCAGGACGTCAATCCCTGATCAGTTTGTCAACAGCCGAAAGCGAGATGATGGAATCAATGGAAAGTTTGGTAGCTGGCGAGTCAGTCGCCGTCATAGCAGAAGAACTTCAAGGTGATCTCTTGAAGATGGCTTGGAGTGACAACCAAGCCGCCACTGTCATTCTCACAGCAGATGGTGGGAATTGGAGAACCCGCCACCTGAAGATGAGGGCGCTGGCAGCACGTCAATTGATTGCCAGCGGCGAATGGACACTTCGCCACAAAAATGGCGAACACATGGAAGCTGACCTGGGCACAAAAGCACTCACAAGTGCCAGGTTTGAAATGTTGAAAAAGGAGCTTGGAATGGCCGCCAACACCGGCGCTGAGGCCCACCAAGAAGGGGGTGGCGAGCCCGCGCCTGATGCCAGAGCGCCAACCGCTGGAGGAGAGCGGGGGGCAATGCCCGCATCAAATGGCCATCCAAGCCCAAAGATCGAAGCAGCCAAAGCAGTTTTGAAAGTGGTGCTGCTTTTGGCCGCTGTTCAAGGTGCACAATCAGAAGGTGAAGAAAATAAAGGAGAAAAAGAAGAAGAAAGCTTTAAAGAATTTGAAGTTTTCATGGTGGTTTTCAGCTTGCTGGTGGTCGTGATGACCATGGCCTTTCAATGGATGTGGAAGGTTGGAGTAAGTCGTGTTTTTCCCAGTCTGCCAAAGCAGGAGGGAGAGGATGGCCGAAGTCACCCTGCTGAAGTTGATGTTGCGCCACAAGCTGAAGAACCAGAAGTCCCCGAAGAATTGAGCTCCGCTACCACATCAGAAAGTAGCAGCAGTTCACAAGAAGAAGATCCACTAGGAGTTCAACGTGCCATTCAGGAAACCAATCGAGAAGAAGTTGAGCTCTGGAATCGAATCAGGGCTGATCCAGCATGTTTTGAGAATGAGTATAACGAGTTCGAGAACGAGCAGCTCTCAACTCGAGTTTTCAGAACGCGCTATGGAGTAGTTTATCATGGATCTCTGGAGTGCGGCTGTCTCAGAGCTCCACAAACTGGAAGGGCATTTGAATTTCACTGGTGTTATCTTTGCAGGTACGTGGCGATGAAAACGAGGGAACCACCACCACCAGGAGTAGCTTTTTATTTGAATGGAGTTGGCGCTGCAGTGCACACAAGCCTTAGATGTCCTTTTTTGCGAGACTCAAAGGAATTTCCAATGTGTGCTCAGTGCCGTCCAAATTTCAATTAGCGGTTTGAGTCATGGATGTTGTAGAACCTGACGGTTTCTACAAAGGGGGAGTGCAGACACGCACAAATCAAGAAGTGTAACACTCCCACACATGTCCATTTTCAATGAATCCTGCGGTTGACGTAGCCGCTTTTTTACTTCAAGCGTTGGCGAAAAACCATTGCGGCTGCGAGCTGCGATTGCCGAGTTGGAGGTGCCCGGAACTGGAAGTATCTGTTCTTATCAGTGTGACAACGAGGGGAACTACAACATAACGATCCAGGTTGGTGGCTTCTTTAATACTATCCAAGATTAATTGGGGGTTGTCACAATCCAACAAAGTGGGAAATCTGTTCTCAACAACTATAAAGGGACGACCGAGAGTTTTGAACACTGCTCATTTCTCTTCGTGATCAAATGCGATTTTTTACGCGGGTGCTGTGGAACCCATCGGAATTGGCGATGTCTCAGAAGCGGCCCCTGCGCTGTCTAAGAATAGCCGTTTCGAGCAGCTATCAACAGACTTTCTCAATCTATATCTTAAAGATTTCATAAATTCATATCAATTCCCATTTGCAGGTGTTTGGATGAGTTTTGCCATATCAACATTTCAGTAAAACCACAGATCGATAGATCGATGACTTGATCGTCGGAGCCAAGCCGAGGTGCAAAGCGAAGGGACCACCTTAGAGGTCCTCGGAATGCGAATGCCGGATGTGGCCCGGCGAGGATGGAGGGTTGGAGAGCTCGGAACACACTGACGTTCAGTCAGATGTTCAGATTTTGAGGGATTTCGTAGATAGTCTGAGAATGTCTAAGACCATCTAAGACCCTCTAAGACCCTCTAAGACCCTCTGCAGATTTGAGACCTATTGCTGAGCACCGATCATTATGATCCTTGCACTGGGTTTGGTATCCATGTGTTTCTTCCATATTTTAAGAATCGCATGTAAATCGAAATGAGAAACGATGGATGTTCTTCTAAAGCAACCAAATATCCGGTTTGGAACTGGAGGTGGCACTACGAAACTTGTCACAACACCTCCTTGAGTTTCATTAGATGCCCCGTTGGATTGTTCTATCAGCTGCCGCTTTTATGTCCGCTTGTCCCAGGTCCAAAGTTTGGCAAACTTCGGTGGTGAGGCATTGGGGGAAAAGATGGGAAAAATCATCCCTGGACAGGGTCTTTAATTTTTTTTGTCTAGCCTTAAAAGCCCTGGTTTTGGTATTGCTTGAATATTTTCTGATCCTAAATTAAGATGTTGAGGAAGTTGGAGTCAATGCTTCGAGGCTTCCAGGCTGGGAAATGTCTCAACAGATGGGAATCGGATGGAATGGTGCTATTTGGCTCTCACAAACCCTAGATTTGGCATGATTTGGTGAATCTTCTCCCAGATCTTGGCTTTTAGGGATGGTCTATAGCCATGTCAAAACCATCCACAGGTGACCATTTTGGTCCTTTTTCGCTGCTTATTGCAGGACATGCCCCTTGGTGGCAAGGGTTGGGACTTAGCACCATTCATATTCCAATTCAAGATCCAATGGAATAGAAATGGTGACTCATTCCAGTCATGGGGTAACCGGGCAACCTTTTTAGAATAGGGTAATTATTCGAGTTGCACCATAAACTGTTTTGTAGTGATATTTCATAGTCCACCCAAAAAAATTGCTGGTTGGGCCTCCCCAAACATGATTTCAGGAAACACCCAGAAATGGTATAGTTCTCCGACACATTAGATTTGACGCATTGGGAAAGGTCAGACAGACAAGGCGTGAATAGATTGTACATATTCAACAATATGCATATATAATATATGTACTGGTATATATATATATATATGTAAGTATACATATATTGGATAATGTAACAAGATAATGTGGTTTGCTGCTGTTTAATTGCTTGAATTCCTTGTGTGAGGCACTACCAATGGTAATTCGGACTCGGATGGACTGGTTTTTTCTGTTCCAGGGGAGGCAAGACATCTGAAGGTTTCGGGGCAATTGCTTTTCCTGGCGATTTCTGGGTTTGAAATAGTTAAAACATGTCAGATTCAAGCCCACACATGTATGAACATGTGGCTTCAACCATTTTTCAACTCAACAATTGATCCACCCGCTTGGGGTAATCATTTTTTACCTGCTGAATTTCAATTGCCTTGGCCACCCTGAGTTTCCGTTTCACCACCCGTTAGCCTCAAAGGTTAGATGATATGGGCTGGGTGGAAGCTCGACAGACCCCCAGCCGCCGAAGCAGTATGAAGCGGAACCTGCGAAACTGGTTCTTCGAGCAACTTGGTGAAAGAATGCAGAGGGGTTGACCCTGGCTGGGGTTGACAATTGGGCCAGTTCTGTTTGGAAAATCAAATTAGCCAACAAGGAGCCACATGTTCTTGTCATGTTCTGTAATGTTGGCTCCTGATAAGTAGCTAGGTTCGCTATTGTGCCAAAAATTGTGCAAATTATTCTGAACCCATGCATTGTTTGGCGTTCGCTATTGTGGCAAGAAATCTTGGGGGGCATTTTTTTTGTCCAAACAAATGTTTGTGTAAAAAAACTGCATGTTTTTTTTCTGAAAAATATTGCTTGTCTCCCTGTCCCAAAAGAATCAGACCGCTTATTAAAACCTTATTAAAGAGCAGTTTTCCCACAAATTTCAAAAGGCAGTGGGCCATGAGAGGGTCCAGTTCACTTTAGTAGGTTTGTTCTCAGGGTTCACAATTGCAGCAAACTTTTCCAGAGCTGATCCTGATCCTGATCCTGATCCTGATCCTGATCCTGTCTCTCTTCCTCTTCCTTTTCCTTTTTCCCTTTCTCTTCCTCTTCCTCTCTCTCTCTCTCTCTCTTTCTCTTTCTCTTTCTCTCTTTCCCTTTCTCTTTCTCTTTCTCTTTTTCTTTCTCTTATTTCACTTGAATAACAAACTTAAGGTGGAAAAGGTAACGCAATCAACATGCTGAATCCCACTCACTACAAGGTACTACAAGTACTATCTTAAGGTACTACAAGTACTAAAAGTACTACAAATATCACAAGTTCATCAGCCAAAAGTGTTAATTAGATTTCAACTCTAGCTAAATTGAAATCCTTACTTCAGTGCGGATTTTTTCCTGGGGAACAATTTTTTGGCGCACAACTTTAAAGAGAGTATAGGTATTGTTTGGGGGAGGGGGAGAGGGGGGCCCTCTACACACTAATCAGGATCCAACATTACCTTAAATCAATGTCCAATCACACCCAATCACTATTTGAGCTATTTGGGCTATATGCATATGTTGATCAACATTTGAGGCTCTGGAGTGGCCCTTCAGGTTTTCGGTTTTTCGCATCGAAAGGTCTAGGGGCCTAGGGGCATGTCCATGGGTTGGATCCAACGGATGTAGCTTTCCATCAATTTAATGGGTACCCCCATAGGAAACCCCCATGAATGATCATGAATGGGGATGTGTTTTCCGAAGCTATGCCATGCCTTCGAGACGAGCGTCTTGCTGAAGATCGAGCTTGAGCTTTCCCTAGGGGATCCATCTAGAAATGGATGATTTGAAATAGGGCTAGGCATATTTTTGACGAAAAAAAACATATGAACATTTGATGGATGTGATGAGAACAGATAACAGAAGATCTAGACAAAATCATAGATTATCATCGATTCAAAAACTCCCAGATGATAGTGATCATGACATATCACATATCATGACATATCAGTAGAAACACACCACAGATCAGTAATGATGAACATTGATTCCCGAGCAGTTTGGTGCAACAACATTTGGTCCAGCGACAGGATGATCCTGTGGCTACAAGGGAATGCCGCACTGCCCTTTTCCAGTGCCAATTCCTCAAACTTTGGTTGGATCCATTTATGTCCACAATATTCATCAATACTCCGGAATATTAGATGATTGCACAAACATTATACATCTTATTAGATATTCTCTATGCGTTGATGTAGCCCAATGGCCATTCTGAAATCCCTTGAGATCGTCACCCTGAGGTCCTGGTATTGCTTCGTTCAGAAGTTTTTCCCTCGATCGAGAACCTAAACGAACCCTAAAACCCACCTTTCTAGTGGGAAAACCCACCTAAATCTAGTGGGAAAACAAATTTGGTCCATTGTTCCCTGTAGATTTGCCCTGAAGGGAGTCCCTAAACAACTTGGACTCAGGTCCTTACTGCCCTCAGCGCAAGACTATGCGCACGCGCGACAGGAGGTCTTGAAGGTGCGGGTTTTCACAGGATTTGTTGTGGATTGATATAGGATAATACTGGGATCATCATGAATAACCATCCCAAATAGTGGTCTATTATTATAAACCATGAATAACCATGGGATAATTATAATATAAACCATCCCAAATAGTGGTCTATTATTTGAATATAGACCGCCAAGTTGGGATGATCTAGAATGACCCCCAAGTTCGCTTGGTGAAGATGCTTTCTGGCATTGGGTTTACCATATTCATCTGGTAATTATCACTTGGCGGATTTTAATTGGCAAATGAAGAATGGATAACAGTGGATAACACTGGTTTATCTGGTAATTTGCATGATTATAATTTATTTTTGTTGCCAAATGCAGTGTTCCATCTGGTAATTCAACATAACTGTGGACAAGTTGGACAATCACCATGTTTATCCATTTTCAATAGACAACTCATCTATCATTTGGATGATCAAATAATCATTAACGATTACAATCCCTTCCCCCAATGCTAAACACTATGGAGCTTTTAATATCAATGGGGCCATGTGATATCGTGATACCCAACGGGATCATGTTGGATCCTAGGAGCCCAAGGGCCGCATCCCAAAAGCCTTCACCCAAAACCATCAAGTGTGGGGTGCCCCCAAAAAATGCAGCACATAACCATATTATCCTGTTCCCTAACCAAGCTGGTTCTTCGTTTTCTCGGAGAATCCGATTATCCCAATGATTTTTGCCCAATCAGCGACTTTTTCATCGGCTCTACCCTCTGGTAATTTAACATAGCTATTGAAAGTGGCAATTTTTCATGGGAAAATCCACTATTTCTATGGCCATTTTCAATAGCTATTTTGACATAACCAGGGGGTAATTCCTACAACCTGTTGGTCACGCGAAGGTTTCAGGCATGGTATGACCATCTGCCATGGGACTCCCAATGGATGAACATGATGAACGACCCCAAAGAACCGATCAACATTGATCAGAAATATTCATCATTATCCCACTAATAGTTTACATTAATCCATATTTGTTGTTTCATATCCTACTACATATTATGTGTATATATATTATGTATATATATATATATGTATATATATATATTATATATATTATATGTATCCCACTATTGCATTGGCTTTACAGGATGATGATCCACAGATGATCCGATGATCCACGGATGATCCCAAGCAACAGCGCAGTGTGTTGCCAGGCCCGCATTGATCAAGCAAAGCCTGATGGTCTCGCTGAGGTTGAGGCCGCAGCTGTGTTGCATGTGATCAACTCTCTGTATGTATTGTATATGTATGTAATGTACTGTAATGTAATGAAATGTAATGTTATGTTATGTTATGTTATGTATGTGTATGTGTATGTGTATGTATACGTATATGTATACGTATATGCATATGCATAATAATATGTATATGTATATGTATAATGTATAATGTATTATGTATTATGTATTATGTATTATGTATATGTATATGTATATGTATATGTATGTATATATATATATACACATAGTGTATAAGTCACACCATTGGTCATGTGTATAATATGTAGTGTTTACATCACATGATGATCATGACTGGCCGGCACTGCCCTCAAACAGCGTCATAGTCAACTAAAACATAATGATCATGGCAATCTGGCAATCTGATGATTCTCAATACTTTGGTAATCTAATAGGGCTTGGGAAAATGGCCCGTTTGTAGATAGTTTACTGTACCCATGTAGAATTAAATGGTGCTTTTCCACAGCTATGTTAGCTACCACAGGGCAATTTGTTGACTTGAATGGTTGGTTACCTTTCGGTAGTCAAAGATGGCTGGCTGGGAACCTATATATAAATGGATGTGTGAAGGGGAAAAACCCTGCAAAATCATGGGAACATGAAGGTTTTATATAATTGGAAAACATGGAAAAACAGCGTTAAGATCGTGGAAAAACAAAGCTTTTTAATATGTGTTAATGAAAAATCATCGAACTACCCCAACTACCCTCTATAACTATTTAACATAGCTATGGAAAATGGCCCAAGTATAGATCATTCATGATGGTAAAACAATAATAGACCATCCCCAATTTCACCATCAATAGGTGGTATAATTAAACCATTCCCAGGAAAATGGGTGGTAAATATGGCATTGTTTTTACCCCCATTACTGATGATTTACCTGTTCAAAATGGTGATCAGAGGCTGCCTCTGACGCTCTCCCAGGAGGAGGAAGCACCGGCCGCTGGACCGCTGCCGGACGACGCGGACGCGGACGACGCGGACGCGTCGCCTGTGTCGCCTGTGCCGACCATTCGAGTGGTGAGCGAAGATGACCCGAGACCCGAGGAGAGATGGGCGCTGGGGTCGATGCTTTAAGCATGGTTATGGCATGTTATGGCCCTTTTAGTAGTATTTTACCAGTTATTTTTATTATGGGTATAATTTAATATTATATATATATAACTATATATATAATAATATGTAATATTATATATATTAACTATACAATACGTAATATTATATATATATATAACTATTATATATATATGGGGTGAAGTTTTCCACGTTTGTGGGCTCAGAACTGACTTATAACTTATAACTGTTAAATGTGGGAAAGCCAATAATGTTAACCACCCAAAATTGATGGTTATACCAGCCATCAAGATGGTAAATTTTGGCCTCCCCCACCTTGCGCGTTCCAGGTATGAGGTTGACATATGTTTGTTTAAACATGTTTTGGTGTGCGAGTATCTAGTGGATACTATTGGTATATAGCGATCGATCATGTTTTTTGTGCGAAAACAGAAACATGTTCCAATGAGTTGTCGTTTCCGAGTTTTGGACATTTTCTTCGAAGGAACTGCTGTTTTCGCAGAAATCATAAAAACGTCCCGTTTGATGACTCGAGGCTAAGTTGGTCGCCCCTAAGTTGTGTTTTTTGGAGTAACCAGGGTTTGGGGTGATGGATAACTCCAGTTAGATGAATAAACTCCATGAAAATCACTCTATTTTTATAGTTAACCATAGAATTACCATTGATTGTATGAATGGATAACTCCAGTTGATGGATAAGAATCCAACTTCTGGCAGCATCTTGTAGATCCCAGGAGTCAGCAGTGCAGGCTCAGGAGGTTGTGCCGGAAACCACGGTTGTCGAGCCAGAAGTGGAAGAGAAAGCAGAGCTTCAAGCGGAGGTACCATCTGGAGCTGGGTATCTGCTGAAAGTGACTTGAAATGTTCTCGGGCGCCGCAAGCTGTTTGGATTTTGTTTAGGTCATCGGCTACTTTTTGGTTTGTTTCAGGAGCCATGCTCCTAAAAATTGTTGTTTTAAAACTGATTTCTATTCTATGTGTTTGGACGAAATCGGAAACCATTTGGATAGAAAAGTGGCCGCAATTGAATAATTAGACTTGAGTTCCTGTACTGTTTCAAAGGGTTCAATTTGGTTCTTGAAATCAATTTGGTGACCACAAGCTCAAAGCACTGATGACTCTGAAAGTACATGATGTGCAAAGACGTGCCTCGTCCGGACTCAGATTCTTGCTTGGGGAAATAGATGAATCAGGATGAATCATGCCAGGGTAAAGGGGGTTCAAGCCAAGAGTTCCGAAAAATCCTGGCCTCACTTTTGGATGTTCGTAATTCCACTGTTGCCCCGGTGTTCACTTCGTTTTCCAGGGGGAAGTGACCGAATTTCCTGATCTTCACATGAATGAGAAGAACGAGCTCTATGCGCACACCTTTGTGGTACAGAAAGGTCACCTGGATGCGAAAGTTCAGTAAGGGGGCACTTGGAAAAGATCTGAGATCATGAAAGGTTGGGTTTGTATAGGTTATTTTGTATGGCTTTGCATTACAATACCTTATCTTGTTGGTGTCATCCTCGTTTGGTCTCGATAGTTTTTTGAGAAGACTCTCTCGTTTGGGACTCGGTCTCATTGTTTGGGTGGGAAGGCTGTCTTCATGATATCTATAGCTGCTGCATCCAAAAAATATCCATCGGGTGCATTATCGTACATTCTCCAGACTCCAGCATAGAAGACTATCCCAAGTACTGACTGTGCAATCCTTTCAGGGCTACAGTGAGCGCCAGCATCGTACTCCATCTCCAGACGCATGGCTCAGGTGAGAATTTGCTGTGCCAGTTGATGGAGCCTGAGGCAAGGAAAGCGGCCAGCCTCACTGGGATCGGGTAAAGTTGTGGCGTGTTTTCTGAAGGGAGATTTTGAACCGTTCAACACATCTGCCAGGCAGGGGATCTTCCATTTCCCCTTCGGGAAAATGACCGAAGTTCTTAGTTCCAGCAACTTCCCAAGTGTCCAAGAAGGGGAGACGAGACAGCTCTTTGAAGGACCCCCAAGTCCCCAAGGTCAGGATGCGTCCAACTTCTTGCAAATCTCACAGTCTTTGTCGGTCAAATCCGATTTTGGGGCTGTTGTACTCATCATAACCCCCTATTGTTTGCGCCAACATGCAAAATCAGCCTAAGCAGGCTTTGCTTTTGCATGGATCCAAACACTGACTGAGAAGGTATTTAACAATTTAACCCCCTAAATCATACCTCAAGTACTTCCTAAGAAGGTACTTGGATCCATCGGGCTTATATTATATATATATATATATTGGTGGATTTGTTTGTTTTTTTTTTATAATGGGTTTGTCTGAAAACGGAGTAACCCCGAAATCTACTGCTTAATCATTGCTTTCCCCAATTAAAATGGCCACAAGTTATGGGGTGAATCCCCCATTTTCGGACACACACACACACAAATATCATTCGAAGATGAAGATCCCCTGATACAATTGTTGATGGTGATGTTGATGTTGATGCTTCAATGGCGTAAATACCCCATGCCTTTATCAAGTTCTCCACCTTCCTACAGGTGATGTGCCTCCTGCCGCAGCTGAGTGATGTGTTCTTCAAGCTATTTGAGGCGGGATCGGAGCTGGATTTGTGTAGGAAAATGGGAAATCATCTATCAATCAGCCAAAAAAAGAGATCACTATGCATTATGTTATCATAGTTTATCAAACCTGATTGAGGTTCTTCACTTTTTCAAGCCTCAAAGTTAGATGCAGACAAGAGGAAATCCGATTCGAAGATCGTGGTGAATTTAAAGCGTTCTGCATCTTTGGGGGCTGTACCCTTGATTTGTGTCAAGGTTGTGTGAAGGATCATTTCATAACAATCACCAACATCCTCCTCCTCCTCCTCCTCATCCTCATCCTCATCATCATCATCATCATCATCATCCTCATCCTCATCCTCATCCTCCTCCTCCTCGTCATCATCAGTATCATCACCATCATCATCAATAGCGTAAGAATTCTAATCATCACCGTCATACTAATAATGATTATTATTACTATTAATCATCAGCAGCAGCAGCAGCACCACCAGCAGCAGCAGCAGCGCCATCACCACCAGCACCGCTGCCAGTGTGGCCACGGCGCATTTGCTCCGTTCCAGGCATATGCCGATCTTCCCATGCCTGATGGTAGCGGCAGCATGAGTCTGAAAGGACTCCGGTGTTAGTGTGTGGGATAGATAAAAATAGGGACTGGTCTGAAAATGGGGGATTAACCCGCGAAAATGACATGCAATTCACAGGGAAAATAATGAATAAGCATTGGAATTTGGGGTGTTCCCCTAAATTGCAGACATACAGAAGAATGGGGACTGAAAATTCCAATAAGTTTCGATTGAGCAGTGGCTGCTACATCCCTGGTGGTTGATGACTATACAGGGAGTTCTTAAAAAATATTGGGGAGAATCACACTCCTTTGCTGGAAATCATATCAAACAACCAGAGGAATCAGAGAAAAGGGACGACAGAGGGTTTTGAACACTTCAATTGTATAAGGTTGTATAAGTATAGGAAGGCCCCCCCAGTGATGTGTGTTGCTTTATAAATCCATCCAACCATAGAAATATCCACCAGGACCACCAAAAACCGTTGGCCGCCCTTTTTATTTTTTTACCAACTTATCCCAGTTCTTTGGTGTTTCGCCTCTTTGTGGGATGGGTATGGGTCAAAATTAGGTACCCCAAAATTATGGATGGTTAATACTAAACTAGACATTCACATCTGTGGTCCCACATCGGTCTTCCATTTTGACCCAGATCCGGATAATGCAGGGCGGTCAAGTTTTTCCACCATAGAAATCACCAGCGACATCGAAAAATCGGGCGGAAGATTTCATGGGATGAGATGCCGGGTGTCCTCGCTTTCCATCCAATGTCTGAGATCCGTTCATTACTTATGGATCATGGTGAAATTTGGAAACATCTGCTAAAAAATCTACTTCATCTCATGGCAATTGGAAACCCCTAAACTAAATGGAGGTTTTAGTTGGAAAATCATCTATAAATCATCTATAAATAAGGGATTTTCCATTGCCACCTTTGATTACCAGAGGGAAGGAGGGTACTTTTCTCATTAAATCTCCCATTAAGTATCCAATATTGTATCAATGATTCACCATTATTAATTATTAATCAATATGTTCCCACTAAATCCCATATATAGTTACATCAGTTACAGCCCTATTAAACACAATTATCAACCACTATTTTCCCAATGTTTGTTGGTTAAATCTCACAATTATTCATCCCCTTAATCACCAAAAAACATCATGGCGACCAGCGACGCAGAGAGGACTGCTGCGTTGCTGCAGCGACTTCGAACTTTTTCCGGCCACTTGGAGTAGCACCAGTGGATGAGGGTTAAACTGCATGAGTTTGAATAGGTAGGTTGGTTGAAATAACCAGGTTTACTATGGTGCTCACTATGGTTTACAATGGCTTAGCATGGTTTACTGTCATTTACTATGGTTTACCATGATTTATGTATTAATTACTATGATATACTCGGGCTTACTTTGGTTTATACTCGTTTGCTATGGTTTATGATTGTTTATCATGGTTTGCCATGGTTTGCCATGGTTTTCTATGGTTTACCGTGGGTTACTATGGTTTACCGTGGGTTACTATGGTTTACTATGGTTTACCGTGGGTTACTATGGTTTAGCATGGTTTACTGCAGTTTACAGCGGTTTACTATGGTTTACTAAGGTTTGCTATGGTATACTATGGTTTACTGTGGGTTTCTATGGGTTTGCCATGGTTTACTATGGTTTACTGTGGTTTACTATGGTTTACAGACGCTTACGTTGTAGATACATCCATATATCCATATTCAGATGCGTGTGTAGACATACCCATAATTATTATCATAATTATTAGGCCGCATGGTACAATGATACGACATACAGATATCCTTCTGCCTAGAATGGGTATGAAAATGTGAGCCGTCGAGCAGGTGCCTGTTTTTGCCTCGAGGGTTTTGGAGATCATGGATGGAAGCTATTGACACCCAGGTGTTTTCAAACAAGACCAGGTGTCAATTTCCAAGAAAACAAAAAAAACAAGGGGTTCTTTGGGGTTTCACATCCAAAGTTCCAAGTTCTCAAGTCACCCATCACCAAAGTCCATTGCCAGCAGCAAAACTCCACGGCTTAAGAGCCAGGATCGGGTCGACTACAAGACCGTCCTGTGGATTTATAACTTTGCAGAAGGCTGTAGCGAAGTGGAGACACCCTCCGAGCAGCCCAAAAGCAAGCCGCAACTCGGTGTTTTCAGGCTGAGATATGGCGAAAATGGCATGGAGTTAGCTCAATTTGATATCATTGAAGAATTTCAAAGGGGAAAATTATGGGGAATTTACCAAAATCCTTTGATAATTTCAAGGACCCCAGTGTCCAACAAATCCAAATGGTGCGAAGATGCCTGAGAAAGCACAGGCTGTGTCTCCCACGGATTCTAAGCTGTGAACATGCTCAGGGTCTCCATGGGTCTTCAAATTCACTGGTGGATTCCCAGTGGTTGAAGAGATGATTAAAAGGAAACCGGCCAAGAACATACAAAAGCATCTGGTTGGTGGTTTGGAACAGTTTTTTTGCCATATATTGGGAATAATTATCCCAACTGACGAACTCATATTTTTTCAGAGAGGTTGAAACCACCAACCAGGCATGGATGGAAAGCCCCTGAAGTGTTCTGCAATTGAAGGTGACGGTTGTTGGTGTGTTGTGTTCCAGGTTGTTGAAATTAACACATCCTCTTTTCGCCACCCATCCCCAATCTTCGCCCAAGGGATTCCCACCATGCTCAGACCGAGTCAGTTCTGGTCATGTTCATCCCATTTGGTTTTATCAGTCTCATCATATGCAGTATATAAGTCTGAACACAGCTATCAAATTAGTATCACATTATAGTTATCAAATACTACATGGGGAACTAATTTGAATATTGTTTCCCCATACTTCTATGGTAGTATCAACTATTTTTGAAACCGGGAATCACTCATTTATGACATTGAATCATAAATAAGTAACATTAAGTAACTATGAACACTTATGTCTAATAGTATGATATATAGAGTATAACTATACATATTTAGACAGTATATCATTACATATAATACTATATTATACTAGAGTAATACAATAAGTATACTATAACTATCTATAATACGTTATACTATATTTAGACAGTATAGTTGTTATACATAGTTATACTATATATATATATGGGTAAATTACAACGACCTCACTGCGACCTCACTGGAATCATAGTTAATAAGGGGAATCATCCCCAAATGGCCTTAATTCAGGTTTGTGAAATATTATAATTTACCCATATATATGAACACTATATATATCCCAGTGTGTAAGCGAACATAGTTATATATCCCAGTTATACTATATATATATATATACATATCCCATGTTATACATAGTTATATATGAACACTTATGTCTCAACATGTCTAATCCCAGTGTGCGAGCGCCTTTGGCGGCTTTGGCTCCCCGACGAACCAAGGCCGCCGAGTCGGGGCCGGGATGGCTCCAAGAGGAGCGAGAGGAGATCCAACAAGCTGCTCAACAGGTGGAGCGAAAAACCGGGAGATCTCCATGGCTCCATGGGATTTGAAGCATCAATTTCATGGGATTTCCATAGGGATTTCCATGGGGAATTTTTCATCACCCATCATCGAAAGAATGGGGTGGTTTCAGGGAAAACCGACACCGGAAAGCATGGTTTTCCCCATGAAATATGCCATTAAACCAATTCAATGAACCATCCAGTAAATTCACCGTTGGTCCCTGAAAATCACCAAGTTGAACAGGTGGAAACGAATCTTGCCCGATGAATACCAGGGTCCATGTTTACTGGAGGCTGGGGGTATCCTAAAATTGGGATTCCTCCAAAATCATCGGATATGTGGTTTCGATCAATGGGAAAACCCATGGTTTGGGGGACCCATATTTTAGGAACCCCCATATTTGTTTTTATGGGATGGGGATGGGTTAAACCTATGATTTCCATATGACTACCTTCTGGGTCCCAGGGTTTTTGACGGTTTTTTTCCATAGAATGGGGGATCCCCGATAGCTGGATGGTTTTTGAATGGAAAATCCTCTTCAAATGCCATGTTTTGGGGGTACCCCATTTGGAAAAACCGACAAAACCAAATTCTTGGGACCAATATTTGGCACTTCCAATCAAATGCATAATACCGGCATTCCTACTACGATTATTTTCTGATAAAGCCTTCTTCACAATCTATGTAGCCTTGGCCACCCCACACTGAACTATATTTCCAACATATAAAGTAGTATCGAGGTAAATCCCCAGAATTGAGAGAATTGAGGTCTCAATGATTTATTAGGCAATGAGATGGACACCAAGTGCCAAATTAGGCATTTTCACATATGCCCAAAAACCCAACGCTCACAGCGCTCTTTTCTTCTCAGGAAACCTCCTATGTGTTTTTCATAGAATTGAAAATGACATGGTAATGCATGTGAGTAATTACTTGTTTAATGGATTTATACAGCCATTCACACAAATTATGATATACATTGATATGCTATATAAGTATGAGTTTTCAAGGTGTTCCATTTGGGAATATCATCTTTTTAGGGTAGAATTGTTTTTTAGCCAGTGGAGGATCGGTGAGTTTTTCGGTGGGGTCATGTGGTCTAGTGTTCTGTTTGGATCAGCCAGCTCCACTCATGATGTGACATGGGAATTAGCACAGTTTAAGATAATCCCATTGATCCATTGAGATTAATCCCATGGGATTATGACTTTTAATCTGAGAAATGGAGATAAATGGAGATCCAAGGGATAAATCTATATATATATATACAGAGAATGATGGTGATTTCTTGGGATGCTTCATGCATTTCTGTTGCAGTTGTGGTCCACATCTTTGGGGATGCCAAATACTCCTGTACTTTGCGGTCCACTTTGGAAGCCTCTTCAGGGTTAGTGTGACCATGTTCACAGTAAAAATACGGGAAAACCAACACTAGCAACTGAATGTTTCCTGCAGCTTAAGAGGTAACATTTTCATGTGCAAGTTTCGAGGGACAGGGGGGAATGTTGAGGTGGTTTGGTCTGATGCGTTGATTTGAGGGAAGATTTGGATGGAGTCCCTCTTTGGATGGAGGTTCCTGCAATGGCAATTGAAACCAGTGGACAACCAGGGGCACCAGTGGATGGCACCACATTTGCACAGTGCACAATCAACATGTAATGTTAGGTTAGTTGATAGCTGCAACCGCTGCGCATCCCCCTTTTTTGAGCACAGTGTGCCAGTTCGATGTGCATTTTGGGATGATTTGGAATGGGTCATTAGTTGGGGTCTATGTTCATCATTACCCTTTGGTAATCAAACATGGCCGTTGAACACACATAAATATATATATATATACACATACATATAAATGGGTGTTTGATGGAAATTATCATTCATTTTCATGGAAAATTCCTTAAAAATCCAGCCCCAGTCATAGGATTGTCCAGTCATGTAGCTTTTTCCCAGGGGAAGTGGCCGGATGAAGCGGAGCCTCCTGAAGGCTAGCTCCAAACAGATGGAGAAAGGAGCCCAGACGGGACGGGACGGTCATTTTTAGACATATTTTTCGAGTGGGTTTAGAAATTATATACATATATATATATATATATGGTACCCCCCCCAAAACCTATGCAGACTTCAATTTTACTGGTATTTATATATATATATATATGAGTAATGTCTAGAGATTTTGCAAAAAGCAAGTGTGGGATCATTGCCGCCTATCCATATCTCCAAAGATGCCCGAATGAAACCATGGTTTAGCCACTTCATTTCGGCGGTGTGAATCATATTCGGGGCCAAGGATTCACCAGGTTTCTGGTGGGATAGAGCTGGGTGGTCATTCCCATCTCTGACCCAAGGTTTTGGCTGGTTTTTTCAAAGGATTGGTTGATGGGAAAATCTACAGGAAACCATGGTTTTTACCATGAAATATAGGGCTTTCCTGTAGATTTTCCCTTAAACCAATCCAATGTTTTTTGTGTTGAGTCAGGAGACACCTCGACATGTATTCTATACCATGGCCGCTTGGTTGCAGTTGACTTTCAGGATGTCATGGATCTTTCAGGACTTGATCAGCCCTACTTGAGACAGACTGAATCAAACTACAGTAGCACTTCATTGTCACCAACTTAACCTAGAGTTAGAAGGCACTTGCAGCCACACACTGGGGTACATGAAAATAATTATTTTGTCGTTTGCATGGTCATGTTTTTGTCATTTGCTTCTGTCGTTTTTTGTTGGTCCTGTCATTTGTCCCTGTCATTTTTCTGTCATTTTTCTGTCATGGTTTAATCATTTTTCTGTCATTTTTCTCCGGTTTTCATGATTTTCTTTGATTTTTCGAAAATGTCTTTACTTTTCAAGCATGAAACCAACAAATTTATTGAACAATGGCAGAAAAATGACAGAACAATGACAGGTAGAATTTAGGAATGACAAAAAAATGACAAGGCCAAAATGACAGAAAAATGACAAACAAATGACAAAACAATTATTTCCAGGATTCTCAGCCTGTGGCTGACCAAGTTCTTCCTAAACCTAGATTCAACTTTCGGACGTTTATCTTTATGTTGCCAACTCTTTGTAATTTGAGCACCATGCCCATGTGTGTAATAGATGCAATGTTTGCAACATGTACAAGCCTTTGTTGTGTATTCAAAGTCCATCTCCCATAGTCAACGTAGGTTTCCTGTGGCTCCTTTTGGTACTGCATGCGAGGTTTCAGATGACCATGAAATGAGGATTCCCCAGAGGTTTTGTTTGGTATCAGGTGGGTCATGCCTGACCCATAACAACACGGTTAGAATCACAGCATGATAAGATGGCAACTATGTTGCCTATGCGCCCATCCTTTTTTGCTCATTGTTCATTGGTCATGATCACCCACTTGCGTGCTATAACGTTAGTGTAATATTTCTTCATATGCGTTGTTGGTTTGAAAGACCCCATTTGCCGGATGAAAATCATCGGGTAGATATTAAACCTTTGGTCAATACCGAAACTGATCAGATTTTTTTTGGGATCTCCATGGCAATTTTCAGATTGACCCTGGTTTTCCCAAGTTGCCCCATGATTTTCATGGTTTTTCCTAAGTTATCCCATGTTTTTCCTTTATTTCTAAGTTGTCCCATGATTTTCACGTTTTTCTCCTAAGTTTTCCTATGTTTTTCATGTTTTTCCTAAGTTATCCTATGATTTTCATGGTTTTTTCCTAAGTTTTCACGGTCTTCCCAGCATTTTTCCGGTGGCCCCAGGCAAGTGGATCAAGGAGCACCTCATTTGGATGACCAAAACCCCTCAGGAGATGTCAGCCTCGGAGCCACCCAGCTGGTGATGGTAGGGAGGGACTTGGAATGTTCGTTGAACCAACCATTCACTATCTATTATAATATATATATATATATTTATATCACTATCTAATGTTAGTTGTTTAATATTAATTATACTGTAGTGATAATTAATTGTAATAAACTATAGTCCAAATTCTTCATGGAATTTAGGTGGCTACCTGGTTATCTATGATATCTATGATATATCTATTATGGTTCTCTATAGATAATCATGGCTAACCAACCAAATTCAACCAATGGGACAATCATAGGATTTTTGTCATGGATGAAGCTTTGGATAACCTTGGGATAACCTTGGGAGTTGCATGGATCTATGAACAGGATTTGAATTGTTTCATTGAGGAGCCAACCATCAACCCCAGTACCGACTCGTGGGTTGAATCAATAAGTAGTAAATCATCCTCGATGCTAATGGATTTTAATGAAATATTGATGAACCATCAACCATCAATCTGATTAAAGCTGATTAACCTTAAGATTGAAGAGTTTTTTCATTGTATGGTAATGGAATTTGTTGGTTGAAACCATAAAAAAAACATTTCACCATGAATCTGGGTTAAATCAGAGTGACGAAACTGTGATCTCCAGCGGAGTCATTCTTATACGGGAACTTGTCAGGTGAACTATTGTAATTTACCAAGAGCAGTGGGGGATTGAATGGAATACCAATGGGATAATGGTTGCTAAGAATGGGATACCCTCTGGTAAACTAACATAGCTATTGAAAATGGCCACATATCGTGGATTTTCCCATTAAAAATGGTGATTTTCCATAGTTATGTTAGTTTACGAGAGGGTAGATCCCTGATTCCCTGTTTGCAAAGATGATTTGCTATTGCTTTTCACTGTTTAGGAAATCTTTTGGGGACACTGTAACTCGGTTTTTTGGAGCAAATCCAAGCGATTGGTAGATTCAAATGGTCAGGATCATTTGTAGGGGTGAAACGGTGAAACGCTATCATTTATAGACGATTTATAGGGTGATGTAATCCAGGCATATGGAGATAAATTTGATTAATGATAATTGGTGATGCTTGGTTGATTCTTCCATGGATTTGATGGGGATATGAGTCACCATCATTTTGTTTCCAGGTTTTCAGCATTAGACATATGTCACTGAGAAATGATGGTTGGCGATTATTGGTGTTCTCATCGCCCCAATATTTGGTATACCCTCTGGTAAACATACAAGAAGCTATGGAAAATCACCACTGTTATATAGGTGTATAAATCAACCATTAATGGCCATCTGCAATAGCTATGTTAGTTTACCAGAGGGTTAATCGGGTTTTGTGTTGGCCGGTATTTGATACTAACAGTAAGTGATTAGGTTCTTATGTGTTTTACCCCAAGAAACACCATGATGATTTCAGTTGAAACTACCAGCCACCCCAAATGGTCAGGTGTCCGTAACGGGTCAACTGTAGCTTAGTGGTGTGTCAGTGGTGGGTCATTGGTGGGTTAATGCGGGTGTGAATGGTGGGTGAATGATGGCTTCATGGTGTGTGGCTAGACGTTGGTATTTAAAGTAACTTCATAGGATATGTTCAAGGTTCTTCCAAGCAGTTTCAACCATATGTTTAAAAATTATAGATTCATAGATATTTATAGTTTTCAGATTTTTCTGTGAAGTATCTAAGGTGAGCCGAGCGGACATTCCACCTCATCTGGCAGACTTTTTTTTTGCCATGTTTGCTTTACAAGCACATATGGTTGTGTGTGGGTTGGACCAGCTGGCGATGTGTTATACGGGCCCCATGTCCCAGCTTATGAACGAAGATTGTGACCATGGTTATACCACTAAACCAAAGCCAACTGCATCCCGAAATAGATGTCCTTCCCACAGCCTTGTTCCCGTGTGAGACATGCATCATCAAAGGTTACGGGCAATTGGGATTTTGACGCCAACGGCCAAGTGGATGGAATGCCAATGTGCCGCAGCTGCAGCCGCATGGGGATTCGACCAATCTATGAGCATCTCTCGATGGACATTAAACGAAGGGTGCTGGTTGAATCCCAATATGATAATATTTGTTGGTGGGTTATCCGCATGTTCGTCGTGTAATTTCCCGTGACAGACTTCAATCCCTAGGTTTGTTGGCCAAGCTCTAAAAATCTCTTCCATTCCCCTGTTTTTCTGGGTTGAAATCACGTGAACTCCCGAGTTGCTGTTGGGTCAACATGTTTTTTTGGGGAGTCCAACAGGTCCAACGGGTACAACGGGTCCAACTCCAACACCGGTGAGGCCTCACCGCGAAAGAACTGCTGGTCTACTTCGACGACGATGGCAACGGCGCCCTGAGTGCGGACGAGCTGGGCACGGTGCGATCTGGGGAAGTCATGGGGCTTTTTTGATGGAGATTGATGGGATATGATGGGATTAGAATGGGAAATTCTATGGGATCCTCAGGTGATTTCAAGGGATTCGAATGGAATTCTAAGGTGATTTTAAGAGATTTCATTGGATTGGAATGGGAAATTCTAGGGGATTCTGATGGAATTTCAAGAGATTTCATTGGATAATGATTCTGATGGGATTTAGGAAATTTGACGCTTGAACTCTGTAATTAAGCTTATTGATTGGGATAGAGAAAAGTAGAAAATCGAAACTTAATGGTGATATTTTATGGTTCATTTTGTGAGTTTAACCCACCAAAACAGATGCAGTGGTGTTTATTAACCAATAAATTCACCAAAACTTAGAGCTCTTGCAGCTGATTTTGTGGAGTCAACCACAGATATGGCTTCGGAATGGTCACCCATGTCCCGCGACGAAATGGGATGATGATCTGTATTTTGATAAGTCGTGACTATCCCTTCTGGTCCCAGCTGGCTCCACTAGTATATATATATATATAATCATTTATAGGTATATCAATGAACTAATTGCTGTTGCTTGAAGCATATTTCGTTGGTTCTCGTTGGTTCTAGTCTAATTATATATATATAGTAGTTAATCGTGTTTACTGGTTGTGCTTGTGCTTGCCTTCTTAGTCGATCACAGACATCCTTAGTCCTTGCGGGCTTTGAACTGCGAAGGCCTTGCAGTTCATGAGCTTCGAAGATCCGCCCACCAAGGCCGCTAGAAATGTGGCAAGTGAGATCTTCAACCCCAAATTGGTTTGGGAAAGCCATCCAAGAAGATAGCCTCCAATGCTTTACTCAGGCTCAGAATTTCGGTGACACCCCCATTTTTTTTGGATGCTGGAGAGTTGACTCCACACGACCAGATCCACACTGTCGCTGCAGGAAGACATTGAAGATGTTTTCATGAAGTTGTTACCTCCGAAGGCAACTCGGCATGGTGAATCTCCAGCAGCATATAGATGCTATCAACTGTACATCGGCTGACAAACAGAAGGTAGGTCCTTAAAAAAAATGCAGCCATGGTGGCAATATTTCCAGCACAAAGGTAAAGCAAGATGATTATACATGACATGACTTTCTCCATGTTCTTATGAGATCTTATGAGTGGTTCAATATGTTTTATTGCAGTTTGACACATGTTCGCGTGCTGTTCTCCAAATGCTTCCAATCTTGTTTCATAAGTGTGTCATACTGTGTCCACCTTTTTCCCTCACTTGTTCTACGATGTTTATGTTGTTTCTTCGTTTTTGTTCATATTTCCTCCTAGTTGTCCTATGACTTTCACAGTTTTTCCATGTTTTTCCTATGATTTTCATGTTTTGTTCCATGGTTTTCCTATGATGTTCATGTGTTTTTCCATGGTTTCTCCTACGTTTCTCCTACGTTTTTCCTACGTTTTTCCTACGTTTTCCCGGTGACTTCCCAGGGAAACTTCCCCAGCGGTTCGTTCGGAGGCCGTGGAGCTGGACCTGGAAATCATCGGCATGGCGATGACGGCGGTGAGCCGCTTGGGATCTAATAGTATATTTATTAATATTTACCAATATTATATACTATTAATATCTATTAATACTATGAAGAATGTATCTTTACTGGATATTTAATGGATATGTAATGGATTTTTAATGGATTTTTAATGGATTTTTAATGGATACTTAATGGATATTTAATGAATATTTAAAATCTATAATAACAATAGGTATATCAATATCAATAATACCAATTTGTTGTGATACTATTTGATATTAATGGATATTTAATGGATATTTATTATTCATGGATATTTCTGGATATTCAGAGGGGTTGAAACCACCAACCAGAATAGTATATTTATTAATATGTACCAATTTACCAATAGTATATACTATTAATACTTTTAATACTATTATATATATATACTCAGATATTCCAACTCAGATGCCATCAAGTAATATCAACTTATAATTAGTACCTATTTGGTATAGTCTATAATAATATATCTATCTTTTAACCAATAGTATAGCATAACACTAATCATATTATATGTGTAGTGTATATTATTGTATACTTGTATATCATTATAACATATGATATTATATTTTTAGATATTATTATATTTTAGTGCAGATATATTATTGTAGATTATACTATAGTGTATTAGCTAGTATTATATAGTGTATATTGTTGTATTAGCTAGTATATTTTGTAT